TTAAATTTTAGAATCAGCTTGTTAATTTCTACACAGGATCATAAAATTTTGGTTGGAATTCCATTAAACCTATAGAAAAATTCAGGCAGAATTAACATCTTAATTATATTGAATGTTTCAATCCATGAACATAGTATATCTTTCCATTTATTCAGATTTCCTATAATGTCTCATAACAATATTTCATAGTATTCAGAATACAGACCTTTCACACCTTTTGTTAAATTTATTCCTTAGCAGTTTAGGATTTTTATAATATTGCAAATAGGGGTTTACTTTTTATTTTATTTTCTGAGCATTTGTTGCTAGAGTATATAAAAACACAATTGATATGTATATAATATCCTTTTATACTAGCACCTTACTAAATTAACCTATTAATAATCATCATTATTTTATGGATTCCTTAGAATTCTTTAAAGAATTGTGACCTCTTTGAAGAGAGAGAATTTTGCTTTTTTTTTTCTTGTCTTTATGCCTTTTATTTCTTTATGTTGCTTTCTTGCAATGACTGGGACCTCCAGTAAAATATTGAATAGAAATGTTGAGAGTAAATATTCTCATATTTTTACCAACTTTGAGGTAAAGTGTTCGGTATTTTACCACTATGTTTAAAATTAGCTGTAGGTTTTACACAGATGACCTTTATCAAGTTGAGGAAATTCTATTCATAGACTGCTGATCATTTTTTTTTAAATCAAGAATGAACGTTAGATTTTGCCATATGCCTTTTGTGCATCCATTGAATAATCATATTTTTTCTTTGCTCTGTTAATGTGACAAATTAAAATGATTGATTTTTAAATTATTAAATCACAGTGATATTAATGGTAGGTTCCCTTAATATTTATTATCTAAAAATATCTTTACTTTACTTTTATTCTTGAAATATATTTTCACCAGATATAGAATTCTAGGTTGACATATTTTATTTTCTGTCATCACTTTAAAGATGTTGTTTTACTGTCTTTATTTTGGCCTCTATTTTTTCTGATAAGAAGTCAGTGATCATTTTGTTTTTTATTTTTTTGGCGATCATTTATATCTTAGTTCCTTTATAGGCACCATTGTCATAGAATAAACTCAGAGTTTATTGTGTCTTCCACAGTCAGCATATTTTAATTTTTCAGTTACATAATTTTTGGTAAATTTTCCAAACAGTTCATTAAAATTTTAGTATGTAATAAATCTTACCTAAATGTTTTTATGTTATAATCAATAATACTACAACAGAAATCATGGTAACAACCTCAAGAGAAACAATGGGAGCCATCAATGTTTTCAGGGTGAAGAAAATTTATTTATATAATATTCCTTATGTATAAGATTGAAATGAAACAAGTTTCTATTAAATGTGCCTTTATTGTCATGAAATTTACTTGGATATAATTAAAGTCTCATAATGTTTTTCTTTTGCTTATGTTGATATATACTATTATGAGATATTCTTTTGTATATAAAATCAAATTGAAGAATTAGCCATTTCATATCTCATAAGGAGGTTCATCCTCATGTAAAACAAATTTCGTCTTCTACTGATGAGCTGGGCCAGATGCAGGATGGATTAAGCCATGGACTCAAAGACCAGAACAGATCATTGCATAGGGGTTGTGAAATTGGTAGATTTAAAAAATTTTGCTGAAGAATGACTAGAGATAAAATGTAAAAGTGTGGAGTATTTTTCTGTTTAAAAGTACTTTCTTTGATATTATTTCCTTTAACCCTCACAACAGCTCTTGAAGGATACTGTTATTTTCCCCATTTGACAAAAGAAATAAATTCATGTTTAGACTTTCCCAAAATCATACAACTTATTGTATCTAGGTATTCACACTCTAAATATTCTTACCATTCTATCATTTTTAAAACCTTAAAAAAAATTATAGGATAAAAGTCCTGTTTAAGCTGATAATTTGTTGGTTGGCTGACTGCTCTCTGGAGCCTGTGGTACTTCCCTGATGGTGTCAGTCTCAGTCCAGTGGGGGTTGCCAAAGACTGCCTGCTTCCAGCAGTTCAAATTGTAGACTAATCCAATTCCCATGGGGCATCTTAAATCCATTCCTGCTCTAATTTGTGCTTGAACAATAGGAATCTTGATTTTCCACTGCAAGTTTTCTTCACTATGAGCTACTCTATTCTTTGTCAGATATCTCTTTAATTTGTTGAATTGAGGTAGTTATTTGGATAGCTAAATTTGTAATTTTACATATCTATATAATAACCTTTTTTCCAATTATACATATGTATTATTTATATATGTAATACACATATATTTATATGTATCCTCACAAGAACTCATGTAGATATTAAAGTAATTTCAGTAACGTGAGACCTTTGTAAAGTCTTCTAGTGTTATAAGTTATAGAAACGTGTTCTAACACACTGTCACATTTTGATGCAGGAAACAGAAACCACTACCCAAATTTCAAGGAGAAATGCAGGGAATTAGGTGCTTTAAAAAAATCACTGGAGGGGCCGGCCCAGTGGCGCAGTGGTTAAGTTCACACGTTCCTCTTGGGCGGCCCGGGATTCACCAGTTTGGATCCCAGGGGGTGGATCTACACAATGCTTATCAAGCCATGGTGTGGCAGGCATCCCACATGTAAAGTAGAGGAATATGGGCATGGATATTAGCTCAGGGCCAATCTTCCTCAAAAAAAAAAAAAAATCATTGGAAAGGCTGGAGGAACAAAAGTCGGGGTTTAACCATTAGGCTTATTTTCAAGGTCACTCTCTATTGCTTCATTGAGAGGTGAGGAAACTGCTGCTATCACCACCACCCCTGCTGCTGTGGCTCCAGACTCCTGCTCCCACAAAACTGGTTACCAGACAGCAGACGTGGAGGATACCTGCTGCCCAACTCACGTTGTCCTGAGCCTGCTCATTCACTCCCACTGTGAGTGAAAGAGGGCATCTGCCCTATTTTGCTTTCCAAATGCTACCTGAGGTTGTCAAATTGGAAGAATCTCACTCATATATAAAACAATAATTATCAATGAGCCTATATAAAGAAATTTATTCGTTTTGTCACAACTTACTATGGGAAAACTAAAGAGAGAGAATGAAGAAGGGAGGGAAGGAAAGAAAGAATAGAAAAGAAAGAAACCAGAACAACGGTATGAGAACTTTACTCATTTGTGTTGAAGCCTTGGTCTCTAGTAAAAGGTAAATTCTTTGAGGAGGTATCCATCATTTGGCTTTTGTCAGTAATCCTTTCTGCAGTGAGGATAATGAGTTTGAGATCCTTTCTTGAGAAAGAACTGGCATAACAAACTAAGAACATCCTTGCATGCTTTAAAATATTTCTCCAATTTAATTTATTTCACAAAAAGTGTGGAGTGCAATGGAGTATTTCAAACAAAAAGGGAACACATGCACACATGAGTAACATGTTCACCTCCATAACTTTTCAACCTTGACAGATGTTTCTTGGGTGCTTTAAAGTACTGTTTCTGCTGCCATTGGGTGGAATGCTCAATAATGTCAATAGCATGAAGTTGGTTGATAGCGATATAGCCACTTCAGGGGTTTTTCTAGTTTTTTCATGTATTTTTTCCCATCCTTTTACTTTTTTTTGCTGAGGAAGATTAGCCCTGAGTTAATATCTGTTGTCAATCTTCCTCTTTTTTTTTTTTTTTTTTTTGCTTGAGGAAGATTAGCCCTAAACTGACATCTGTGCTGGTGTTCCTCCATTTTATATGTGGGTTGCCACCACAGCATGGCTGGATGAGTGGTGTAGGTCCACATCCAGAATCTGAACCTGCAAACCTGGGCCACCAAAGCAGAACACACTGAACTCAACCACTATGCCACGAGGCTGCCCCCTCCCTTTTTATTTTTAACTTATTTGGGTCTTTATATTTAAAGTAGTCTTCTTGTAAGCAAAGCATATGTGGGTCTTGCTTTTTGGTCCAGTCTTAGAATCTCAGACATTTTGAAGTCTCTTTAACACTCACTATAGTGAATTTCTTTCTTTTTCTTGAAAAATACAGGAAATATCATGGTAAGATTGTCAGTTATTGCTGTCAAATAAACCTCAGTTAGAGGATACCTCCTCAGAAGAGCCAAACATCTAATTATTACTATAAGTGGAACATCTTGTATATGAATTTTTTTTTAAGTATGATGGTGCAGTAGTTGATCCACTTTGACAATTCTTTTCTAATGGACAATTTTCCCTCCCATTACCCATATTGAAATGAAGCAATGGGGTTTTGCTTGGCTATCATCACTGTCAATCACGATTCCCAAGAAAAAGTTATGAAAAGGTCCACAATTATTCATCCTTTGAAACAAATGCCCTGTTGAAATCTGCGTCTGCCTGCCCAAAGCAGGGAAGAAAGTGGCATACAGAGGGTGGAAACTTTTGGAATATTTGCATGATGATGTTTCGGTAGAAAAGAGAGGATATGTAGAAACTCCATTTGACTGGTCTCCAGATATCTTGATATTATAACAGTTTTGCTCCACCGATTACTTACAAGAGTGGTTCTCTTAGTCTGCTCAGCTGCTATAACAAAATGTCACACACTGGGTGTCTTTAACAACAGACATTTATTTTTTACAGTTCTGGAGGATGGGAAGTTCAAGATCAAGGTGCCAGAGATACAGTACACAGGAGAACCCGCTTCCTGGCTTACAGACAGCTGCCTTCTCACTGGGCTCACATGGCCTTTCCTGGGTGAGTACTGATATATATAGAGAGCTCTCCTGTCTCTTCCTCTTCTTGTAAGGGAACTAATCTCATCACAAAGGCCCCACCTTCTGATGACATCATCTAATTACTTCCCAAAGGCCCTCTACAAATACCACCACATTAGGGGTTAGGACTTCAATGTATGAACTTGGGGGGACCCAAAATTCAGTCAAAACACTGATTCAATAAATATGATCCCAAAACAATAGCATTAACATTTCCAAATCAGAAACTCTGTCAGCGAAGACTGCCAGTCTGTGTTTTCTTTTTTTTAATATGCCATTGGCTTCTTATTACTTTTATTTCATTTTTTGTTTTTCTTTTAAATTATTTTATTGAGGTCCTATTGGCTTATAACATTGTGTGAATTTCAGATGTACATTGTCATATTTCAGTTTCTGCACAGACTGCATCTGTTCCCTCAGAGGAACTGCAGGTGACATGGTCCAACTTGTGAAGTGGACCTCCAGAGCATAGAATAATTATGTTTTGAATGCTTATCTATTTTAAACAGATATCTTTTAAACCAAACAAACAGTTAAACCAAACATCTAATTGAATAGCTTCTTCCTGATATTTTGTCACAGTCTGTCACAGGAGTCAATCCTAGTGATAAGAAGAACAGGAATAATTCACTTTAGGTGTATGATGTTTGTGATCGTCATGAAAGAATCTTGAGAGTTGGCATGGAGCAGCCATCCCAGGCCCAGTAATCTCCTAGGCTCTTTACAAGATTGGAAATGAGTGATGCACTCTTACTGCTTTCTATGTGTTTGTGCTGTCAGATTAATTTAATTTTACAAATATTTCACGAATACTTATTTAGGACCTCATGTGTGCAAACCTCTTTGTTAAACACTGCAAAAGATAGAAAGAGACTAGGACAACTAACTTGTAATAAAAAAAGCTTGTAGCCCCCAAATAAGTATTATACAAGGCCAAGCGTGGCCTCAGAAGAATTAACTGTTAAATGTTTCAATGTTTCAAGTGAGCATTACTATCCCCTTCAAGATAATCTGGAAATGCATCATAGAAGCTGTAACATTTGAGACCGTTTTTGAAGAAAGGACACCATTTCTGTGTTTCCTTTCCCTGTGGAGAGACCTGAATTAGCAAAACAATGTACCTGAGTGAGTGAAGGCTGTCCAGAAAGCTTTCTATAACTTATTTTATGTACATCACAGAGTCCATTGGGAGAGTGTGGAGGAAGAGACTTCAGAATTAAACCAAGGTTTTATTTGAAAGGACCTCAAATAATGCCAGAATGAGCAAACCAGGATGAGGAAGATAGAGATAGACATAGAGACAGAGATAGATATAAGGATGTGTAGATAGAGATCTAGAGATCTAGATGCAGAGATATGTAAATACATGTATCATATAATCCAGCCCTACACTTGAACAAATAAACATATACATGTGAATGTGTACAGATCTAGATACATACACCATATTTGCACATAATCTAGTAGCAATGACAATCTATTAAAAGTTATTGAAAATGGATATGATTTAATCTAAGTTCTGTTTATGAATCATTACCCAGCAGCTATGTTTAGGAAGGAAGAGCATCAAAGGGATGTGGGAGCTAAGTAACTAGAGTTTTACAAATCACGGAGCTGGGTAGCTTTGAGGGAGGGCCTGAGTGGGATCAGTTGGAAAGTGTATAGAATTTCAGTGTTGAGATAGGAAGGGCAGGGGTGGACATGAAGACAGGTCACTCGTTATACTTAGAATTTGGAGTGAGATGAAAGATAACACTGAAGGAATATAAGGACACAAAATGTCCAAACTCTTGCTCATTTTCATGTCCTTCACAGCCACCCACTAGGCCTTATGACATCATATCACCTTAACATTATTGGAAGTTCAGTAATATGTATTTGAAGACCTCATGTCAACAACATATTCTAAAAAACTTTATGTATTACTGATTTGTTTATCTCACTACCTTAACTTTTTAAAAAAAATTCTTGGAAGATTGATCATTTCCTTCCTATTCTGCCACTTCTCTGTTTCTCTGTATGCCAATTAAATTCTTCAATCTCATCTCCTTCTGAATTAGTGAAGTATTTAAAACTATCCTACAACAAACAAACACAGCTGGAAAGGACCTTTTCAGGCATCATTGACAGTGAGAGGCAGCTATCTTTCTCATTACTCATCATGCACACTAGGCTAAGAGCATCCTCTTATAATTTAGACCAACCTTCACTGTCTTAACTCCCTTCTTATTTTTTCCATTTATCTTTATTTCTCTGTGTGACATGAGAGTTGAATCTTCAAGAAGTGAAAATCACCATGTCCAAATAAAGTGGAATGAAAGACTTTGGTGGCTAGTGGAATTCCTGAGATTACCTCTGTTCACCCAAAGGCAAACCTGCCTCCACTGTGGAGTTAAATGTGATATAAGTCTCCAGGCTGCTCAGCTGTATTATTATCAAAGACATCATACTTGAGTTCTGTTCACAGGAACTACAAAATTTTAGTGCTTAATAAATGCATTTAGAGAGACACATTGAAGAATATACAGACATGTACAGTGTTTTCTGCTTTAGTTAATTGAGTATGATATAAACACCTGATTAAAGTTCCTTGTGTGTTTTTGAATAAGATGTACAAATAATTTAATGAGTTTATTATGAACTAATACCTTAAGTCATTAAAATAATGGGACAATTATAATTTTAAAAAATTTGAACACTAATCAACAGATAGCAACATCTAATCTGCATAATTTTGTGACTGTCTTAATGAAAGGATAACAGTTATTAGTATGAGATCTAAACATTTCTCTTTAGCATTTTTGCCAGTGAATCTATGACTTTCCTATTTCTCAGGCTGTAGATAATTGGATTTAACAAAGGAATGATGACAGTGTAAAATAGAGAGTCCACCATATCTTGATCATCTCTCTGTGCAGATCCAGGGCGCACATACATGAAGAGAAGAGGGCCATAGTATAAAGAGACAGATAAGAGATGGGCTCCACAGGTGGAAAAGGCTTTCCTGATGCCTTGTACAGACTTCCTTTTTAAGATTGTAAAGAGAATAAGTGTATAAGAGAAAAGAACAGTCAGAATGGTGAACACTTGAATTGACCCAGAAAAAATAAATAGCATCAGAACATTAATAGAAGGGTCAGTGCAGGAGATCTTAAACAATGGCATGATGTCACAGTAAAAGTGATGTATTATGTTGTAATGACAGAAGGTTAATCTGAATAAAAACCCTACGTGAATTAAGGCATGAAGAAGGCCACCTACAAATGATGAGACTAACAGTTGTATGCATAGTCTATTGGTCATAATCACTGGATAAAGTAAAGGTTTACATATAGCCACACAGCGATCATATGCCATACTTGCCAAGAGAAAACATTCCGTGGTTGCACTGATTCCAAGGGAAAAAAATTGTATCATGCATTCAGAGAGAGATATCATCTTACTCTTGGCAAAGAAGTTGACCAGCATCTTGGGAGTCACTGTGGATGATATCCAAGCATCCACAAAAGCCAAACTCCCAAGGAATAAGTACATGGGGATGTGGAGTTGAGGGTCACTGCAGATGAGTGCAATCAGAATAAGGTTCCCCACAATAGTGATGAAATATATAAGCAAGAATACCAGGAACAGGGGGATGTGCCACTCTGGTTGATATAGAAGTCCTGTGAGAATAAACTCTGTCAGCAATGTTGCATTCTTAGTGTCCATATCCTTAATAGATGACCCCTGAAATGAAGTATAGTCAATATAAAAAGAAAATTCATTGAAGAATTATAAAAGAAAACTTGGTGAGAGTAAATGAAATAAAAGCATACACTAGGTTGAATGCCCTTAATTTTATTTACTCTTACTATGATACATGGAAACTATTTGGAGAAATTGTTATATTGGAAAAATCCAATTATTTCACTCAAAAATTATGTGCAGGAATGAACAGAGTTAGAAGAGGAGAAAGACATGCTGACTATGAACAAATTTGTGGGCAAAGTAGTGAATGAGGTAGAGAAATTCTGTGTGTAGGACATGGATGCAGTGTCAAAAGTAAAGACATTAGAAGAGCCTGGATTATAAAATGGGTGGAAAGCCATGTGAAAAATCTTGAATTTGTCATTCAAACATTAGGCAAACACTGAAAACTTTTAAGACAAGGAGTGGCATCATCAGCTATTTTACAAATTACATATTTCGTTGTGTAAACTAGGATGCAGGGAGGGGAAGCCAGTGTCAAGGCTACCATTAGGAAGCTGTTATTATTGTCCAGGGTTGGAAAATCAGATTACACATCAGAATTGTCTGGGGGAGGTTTTGTGCAAAATACAGATTCTGACGTATATCTGTAGAAAATGACTCAGGAGGTTAATAGTGGAAATTAATAATATACATTTATAAATAAATTCATTAAAATGCATGTAAAGTTTTAGTCCATGTGTGGTATCACATTGATAGTGATGAGGATGACAAAAAGATAGATAAAAATAAACCAGAATGTAGAATCACTAGGACTTGGTGACATTTTAAATGCAAAGGGGTGATCATGAAGGAGAGAAGAGTCATTTGGTGACTGGGTAGATGGTCATCAAAAATTGAGATTGAGGGGCTGGCCCCGTGGCCAAGTGGTTAAGTTCACACGCTCTGCTGCAGGCGGCCCAGTGTTTCGTTGCTTCGAATCCTGGGGGCAGACATGGCACTGCTCATCAAGCCACGTTGGGGTGGCGTCCCACGTGCCACAACTAGAAGGACCCACAACGAAGAATATACAACTATGTACTGGTGGGCTTTGGGGAGAAAAAGGAAAAAAATAAAAAAAAAATTGAGATTGAGAACTCAGGTGCATTGGCCAGTTTGTGGTGCGAGCATCTGCTGAATGTCCAGGTGAGATGTACTTAGTAGTATGAGGCTACAAGAGCTTAATAGAAATAATGAATTCTGGTCATTTGGGGTGGCTGAAAGCATAGTTATGCATTTCTGTCCATTGGAGAGGCAGCATATGGTAAAAGGAAGGAGGTCGTGGATAGAAACTTAAAGGAGTTGTATTAATGAGATTTCTAAATAGATATACAAATTTACTAGATGGATAACATCCGACCCTCTTTTAGTCTTGGTGGCAGGCAATAGCTGCCATCCATGCTAGAAGGCAAAAGTTCTAGAATATGACTCTCCTGTCCCCTTGCACCTAGAGTAGGGGACTTGATTTAGGATTAACCACTGAGATCCACCTACACTGGATTTGGAATAGGGGAGAGGGAACCAGGGGTCAAATGAAGACGAAGAGAATTTTGGTTGCAAAGGCAGCCAAGGGAGCAATAACAAGACCCTGGAAAATGCATCCTGCACCCACAACAGTGGCATCGTCAGTGTGAGCTGTGACATTCCAACTGCAGCAGCAATGACAGCAGCTCTTATTGAGCTAGAGCTGGGACATGATTTTGGCTGTTGAATGGCTGGCTTAGCTCTTTGTATTTCTGCCCATTTATCCAGTGGATTTCTCCACCTTCCCTAGCATTTCTATGTTATAACTAATCTCCATTCGATGAGCTCATTTCCTCCTGCAACCAAGAGATTCGACTCGCACAAAAGGAGCCAAAGAAGAGATAGAAAAGGATATGAGCAGAATGCTCAGAAAAGCAGGAGGGAATTAGAAAGCTGAGTGTTGTGGACTTAAAGAGAGGAAAACACTCAGGGACAATGTGAAGTACAGTGCTGAAAGTAAAATAAATGCTCTGGTAGGATAAAGAGTATACAGAGATCATTGAGTGTGGAAATGAGACTTTAGTGTGTTTAGTGAGAGCAGTTTCCATTTTGTGATGGAGTTGAGGTCAGAGAATAAGGAGATTTGAATGGGAAACAAGTGACAGTGCAGTAGGAAAATGAATAGAGTTCTCCAAGGTGTGGACAACAGTTGACACCTGTCCACTGCCCGTAGACAGATCTGGAATTTCTTCCTGTTTAACAACGTCATGAAAGTTTGCAAAAGAGAAAGGAAGGCATTGAGAAGTTAGGGGGGAAAGAAGTGGAATTGGAAATTTGGTGGGTCAAAAGAAAGCAAAAGGCGGGAGGAGAAGAAGGTAGGGAACAACAGGCAGAGATGGTCAGTGTAGGAAAGACAAGGCCAGGAAGAGGGAGAGAGGAAGGCACTGAAAGGCTGAGGAGGAGAAAGGGGGAGGCTCAGGGGGTGGGGTGAATGTTTGCCTTAACTCTTGTTTTTCTCTAAAAGTTGTCAACACTGGGAATCCTTTCTTTTTCTTTTAGCCAAAATTCCAAGTTTATTTTCCTACAGAATTTGTGTATGAAAGTGATTTTCATTTTAAATTTTACTTTAAAAACTTTGTGCTGTGCATAAGTATACTGGCACTGCCTGAAAGTTCTTTCCATATTTAATGGTTGCTTTATCTTTGTTTTTACTGTCATTAGAACTGTCTTTCTCTGCAAAACTTGATGGTTTTACTTGAGAGCACTTTCTTCTTCACCAGTTTTATTACAAGAATAAAACTGAGCCAAAGACTGAATCCTAATTTAGGCCATTAAAGAACTAACGCCAATAATTGTAGTTGTTAACCTATTTTTATTTGAAATGGGCTTCCTTCCATGAATCTCAAATCACTAAATAATCAAAACTTCTCAAATTCAATGTGTTGGTACTTATTAAGTCATAAAACTGGAAAAAGCATTGGAGGGACATTTTTTGCATTTTTCTTCCTCTCTATATACATTACATATATTTATATTATATATAAATTACTCAATTTTTTGTTAAAAGTGGGTGAAAGGTAGGAAGGTCAATATATTTAAGTGATTTAACTTAAAAGATTAATCACAGAATGTGTTTATTAAAAGAAATAAATAGTTTGAAAAGAATCCTCAGAAAGATTTCTTATGTGGCAAACATTATGACCTGAATCATTAAACCCACTTTTAAATTGTTTAATGTTATAGTTTACCCAAACTAGTCTTACGGAGACACTATAATTATCTTAACCAGATAACTAAATACCATTGAAGACTACAATTCAGTCTCAGAGCTATTTTGCTTATCTAGATTTTCCTCACAGTAATAAAACAGTACAGATTATTCACTGTTTGCTTTCTATTTTCAATTGGCTATTTTCACATATGTAAATCAAATAAAAATTATTATAAATTTAGCAGTATTTTTAACTTTCTATGAAAAATGTTAAATTTTATAGAAATCATTTTCTCTTACCAATACCTGTTAGAAACTGTGGAGATCCTTTCAATACACTAGTTGTGCAAGAGCAGAAAAATATACAAAAGCAGAGAAATGACAATAACATATGTAGCATTTCTTTCCACACTGATTCATTTGGAAGCTTCATTTCCCAAGCTCAGGAAAATATGGTTTATATTAATTTTTTTTTAACAGGAGTCATCCAATTATACAACTGTGTAACCTTTGTGCCAGAAAGGGAAGAAGTAAAGAACTAAAATTCCCCTGATAGCACCCAAGGATCCCCTTTAGGACAAAGCTAAGCTGTTCTTCTGGGCATCATGTATTTGGACAAGCGTGAGGAGTCCAGGTTGCCCCACAGGGCATTACAGACTCTGCAATCATAAACATCAAGCCGTTGTAGACAATGCTAGTTTTAACACTTGGAATTGCACTTTATGCCACTATTTTCCACCACAAATAACACTTCTGACATGTTTATGTAAACTCCAGTTTATTTATAAATTTTGATGCTCTGAATTCTTAGATTAGTATGGTCTTGTCTGAGCTAATCCTGCATGATTTTAATGAGGCCAGAGTTCTAGATTCCCTTCAGGAGCCAACCCCAAGAATGTTGTCCTCCTCACGCAAACCGCAGCTCACATCCAGCCCTGGGCATAACTCCCCACTTTAAGCTGAAATCTGATGAGAAATCTTAGGCAAAGGTCAAGGGAGGAGCAAAGGAAAAGCAGAGCAAAGGACCACAGTGAGAGGAGGCCCAGATCAGAGCTTCCCAAACTTTCATGCCTGTGAATCACCTGGAGATCTTTTCTTTTTTTCTTCTCCCCAAAGGCCCCCAGTGCATAGTTGTATATGTTCTAGTTATATGGCCTAGTTTGCTATGTAGGGTGCCGCCTCAGCATGGCTTGATGAGTGGCACTAGATCCTTGCCCAGGATCTGAACTGGCGAAACCCCGGGCCACCTATGCAGAGCACATGAATTTAACCACTTGGCCATGTGGCTGGCCCCTGGAGATCTTGTTAAAATGCAGATTCTCTTTCACAGGTCTGGGTGGGGCCTGAGGTTCTTCATTTCTAACAAGCTGATGCCTGTGGACACATGGTATCCACAGGGCCTTCTTCATTGGAGGACCTAGATTATCAGACAGCTAGATAACTGGAGAAGCCTGATGTAGTCAGTGGAGCTGGCATGCCAAGAGAGAAGCAGGAGGAACCAGATGGGGCCAGGGAGACCAGCCTGGGTGGGATCACATGGGGTCAAGATGCCAGGTCAGGGCCTTTGTTCTTTACTCCAAATTAGAGAGAAGCTGCTAAGGGATTTTGAACATGATGGTAATGTGTTCAGATTTGCCTTTAAGCATTAACAGAGAGGTTGACAACAAACATTCATTCAGAAAACTAATTACATTCATTATGTCAAAATAGTATAATATGAAAAGTGACATTTTTATTTGATATCTTAAGTGCAACAAAATGTTTATCATTCACTTGGGATGTCATTGGCAGGTAGGGGGAAAAGCAAAGGGCATAGATTTTGGTAGACTCATTAATCAATTATCTTGTGTTCCTAGAATTTTGCTAGTGAAAGCCAAAAAGAGGAAGAAAAAACAACATAGATAAAAGAGAAGTCACTGTGAAAACCTCAGCAGATGAGTGGAGTAAGTGGTGTGATGTGCAGAGGTAGCTTCAACATAACCTAAACTTGACTCTAATTTACTGCCCCATTCAATTCTGTGTCATTATCTCCTAACTCATTTGTTTCCCTTTCTATGAGTACAGAGGTCTGTATTGCTGCTTATAGCATGAGCAGTCTTTTCAATTTTAATCATTTTAATAGGTGGGTTGTGATATCTCATTTGCATTCCCCAATGATGAATTATATTGAGGATATTTTTGTGTCCCTGTTTGACATCTGTATATCTTGTTTAGTGAAGTGTCTTTACAAATCTTCTGTGTATTTTTTAAATTGAGTATATATTTCCTTATTATTGAGTTTTGAGAATTTTCCATATATCCTGGATACAAGGCTTTCATCAGATACATGATTTGCAAACATTTTCTCAATGATCTTGATCTTCTTTTCCTCTCACAAGATATCATACTCATCCATTATGCTGACTGGACCTAGTGAGCAACTACCACAGACTTATCAGTAGACATTTACATGCCAGAAGGTGAGAAATAAATCCAGCAAAAATCTGAGGCCCATTGATCTCAGTGAAATTTCTAGGGGTCCAGTGATGTGAGTCATATGGAGACATCACTTCTAAGGTGAAGGACAAGTTGTTGCATCTAGCCCCTCTTGCAACCCAGAAAGACAAAATGTCTTGTGGCCCCTTTGGTTTTTGGAAGCAGCATCATCCTCATTTGGGTGTATTACTCCAACTTATTAAATGTCTGAATAGAACAGCTGCTAGACTTGAGTGTGGCTCAATATAGGAGAAGGATTTGCCAAAGGTCTAAGCTATTGTGCAAGCTTCACTGCA